ATCATCCAAGCAACATCATGTAAGCATTAATTAGGCCTTCAAACAATAATTACAATTTGATTCTCTAAGTACTTTTAAGTTCTATTTTTCTTTATCAGTAAATGAAGAGTGTAAAATTAAATTTCATTGCATAAAGGTGCCTCTACTTTAGCAATAGAAACAACAATGTTCATAAGTTATTATTGAATCCAAAGGAATTAGTTTTCTTATTTTTCAACATTGACATAATAAACTTTTTTTTTTTTTTTTTTTTTTTTTTTTTTTTTTTTTTTTTTTTAGTAATGTGATATCACTTAAAATGAAATCTCTACAGATTAGTATTGGTACTTTACTTTTTTTTCTTTTTTTTTCTTTTGTAAGTAGTTCAATTGGTAAGATACAGTCTGGCTCATTAGGCCACTGAGTTCAGAATTTTTGTACTGACTGAGAATTTCATCATTTTAACATTTGTATTGTTTAATTATCGGAGGTTTTTTGTTTTTTTTATTACAAAATTCACCATTAAAAAGTGACTTTCCTTTTTTTTTTTTTTTTTTTTTTTTTAAAGTGCAGTTTCATGTCATATAAATATTTTGTGATTTAAAACTAATACAAAATTAGACATTATACACTTTAAAGTACAATTTTAAAATTTATAAATTTTTTGGAGTAGTAATTATACTAGTTAGACTTGCAATAAATCACCCCCCGCCCTATATATTTTTAATCTCTCACCTGGTCAGTCAATTTTTTTTTTTTCTAATATGAACAGTTATCCTTATCCCAGATGATTTTCACATTTTTTGTTTTTAAAATATCTTAGCTAATATCTTCCTTGGACATATGATATATTTAGTGGTCCTTTTCTTGTTGATGGGCTATCCTGTAGGCTCTCCAGTTTAGCATAGGGCCACAGCCTCCCCATACTATTAAGTGTTTCTACTGTGGTTTGAATAACAAGTTGGTTTTTCTGGGGTGGATTTGTTAACCTTATACTTTTTCTTTTTCTCTTATGGCTTATCAACCTTTTCCAGGTTATTTCAAACCAGAAAATATTTTTAGATTATAACTTTTTAAGATAATAATGATATTTACTGATACAAGTATAATTAAATCATAGCTGAGAGAGAAGTGGATTGGTTTCATGACTTTCCCAAGCATAATTGCCTGCAAGTGAATATAATGAACCCAACTAGAATTGAAACTTGACCCTCCAGTTTCCAATTCCTAGCCATTATCCATTACACCACCTGCACATCCAGGCTTACAGCACCTGGTATTCCCAATACACTACTAACAACCTCTGTCCTGCAATAGTTATACATGTTTTTTACATGAAATGTAATAACTATTATGGGGCATGTAGTATACACCTACAATTGTTTGCAGTACCAAATATCACCTCTTATAATCACTGGTACCAAATACCAAGTGAGGTGTAACATGTTGCAGGTGTGAATGCTTTTGTCTGTTCAGTATTTTCACCTGTTGCCAGCTGCAGTTGTTTAGTGGTTTATCATTGTGTACACTGCAAGATGGGTTTATTGAAGAATTCTTTGCATTCCAGCAAGTTGTAGCTTTCTTAACTGTAGACTTCCTTGAAAGGCAAAAAGATTATAGGTAGAAAGAATAAATGCCAATACAAAAACTGCCAACAGTTTAATACTGTCAAAGTTTACAATCACTCTTGGTTGATTTTCTAAGATCTTGAGGAACTTTAGACATTTGTGTCTTGTCTGGAATTTCTTTCAGCTTTAGGAAATAGAAAGAGGGCATTCTTGCTGGATGTATTGGACAATTCTCAGGCATAAACTGCCCTGGTGGCTGCATGAATTAATTAAGAGTGCCATGAACTCTCACTTATATATTTGTCTAAGGGAATGATCTTGATGAATAATATCCTCAAACAAATAACTCTTTATCAGGAACTCACATGGATATACATTATTTACATTATTCGGACTATTGTCCTCATCTTTGTCGTCAAATTTATTACATTTCGGCCGTTGTATGTTCCGGCCTTCTTCAGGTGGTTGGAATGTCGAATTGAACCCTTTATTTCACTTACTGGGGTAGATTGTTCTAGTTCCACGTGCCATGTCTAAGGGATGTCAAAATGTTATCTCCTGTTAATTTCCCTCTGAAAGTTTTCCACTGCTGTAACCAGGTATTGAACTCACACTCTTTGGGTCCTTTCACTGGATCTAACCAACGGTTTATCCACTGTGCCATGTAGGACACATGAGCGAAATAAAGGATTAAGTTAGACATTCCAACCACCTGAAGAAGGCCGGAGTGTACAATGGCCGAAACGTAATAAATATGGCAACAAAGACAATAGTCTGAATACTGTAAATAATGTACATATTACCTTATCTCAGAAATATAGACAGACGCATGAATATATTTGTAAAGTACGTCTGACCAGATATGACCCATTCAAAAGTGTCTTCAGACAGATTCTGGGGTCAGACTTTCTTCTTTTTTTTTTCTTCTTTTTTTTCTTTTTTTTCTTTTTTTTTCTTTTTTTTTTCTTTTTTTTTTTCTTTTTTTTTTTTTCTTCTTTTTTTTTTTTTTTTTTTTTTTTCTTCTTTTTTTCTTTTTTTTCTTCTTTTTCTTTTTTTTTTTTTTTTTTTTCTTTTTTTTTTTTTTTTTTTTTTTTTTCTTCTTTTTTTTTTAAATCGGTATTACCTCAAGTAAGGCAGTACAGCTGCTAACATGTAAGGGGTTACAAGGTGTGGTAAAATTAAGAACAGAAACATTAATAATGGACAGGAAAAGGAAAGAGTAATCTGAAGGATAATAGATAGTGATTGACATTGCATTTAAATTTTTGCAGATTAAAGTTGGCTGGATGGAAAGCATGAAACTGGAAGGGAGTTCCACAAGCAAGAAGTGCAAGAAAAGGAACTGTTAGTATAGAATTTAGTTACAACTAGCCAACAACTCTAAATTGATGAAATCTAGATGCCAGTCTAGTACTGCACTTAAATTCATAAAGCTTAAGTATCATAGCAAAGGGTTCATCTGAACAATTACCATAAAAGCATTTATAGAAAAGACACAGAGGCAACCTTATGCCAGTGGGAAGTGACTGAAGCTGAGATGGCAGATTAGGACCAATCATATTGCTGATTCTTCTTTGGATTTTATCAATGAGCTCAAGGTAAATAGAAGAGGTACTAGACCATATACAGCAGCAATATTCTAAGCATGAATGAATAGTAGACTTATAGATATGTAAGAGATTCTGGAGACAGATTGTTTTGCACAACAATGAACCAACTTTCTTAGCAGCTGACCCTGCAATGGTAAGGGGGATGGATCACTAAACATTTCTAAGATTTGGCTAAATTTTGCAGAATTTTGCTAAACACATTAATTTTGTCAACACAATTCCCTTAGGGATGAGAAGTGAGGTTGGGGTAGTTGTACTGAATTTACTAAATCTTACTAGGTTTATTTTAGGTTCAATTCCTACTGATGCCTTCCTAATAAGCACTTTATAAGTTCTGGTTAATATTTTTAAATCGTACCTTCCACCAGGTTCCAATCTGGTAAACTAATCTTTATTTTTTTGACTTAGTATCTTTATTCCTTCACTTAAAATTCTGTACGCTATCAATACCTTAAGTCAGTAAACAATATTTCATTCATTATTATGACTCCATCAGGGTCACTGCCCTATTACAGTAAAATACTGTTATATTAAAGTTTCTGGAAACATTTACTATAAATTGCTTTGTATATCAAATAATATTTGTAGAATAATTGGCAAAAATGTTCAACAAATAGAATTGAAAAAGTTCTCAAATCATAAGAAAAGGAAGAAAAAGAACAGGGCAAGCAATATATATGCACAACAAAAGTAGGCAAAGCAACAATAAGGTAAAAAGCTCACAAAGTAAGGGATACAGTCAAATGATTTTAGCATTCTGACTTCAAGACAAGAAAGAACAAAAAGATATGGTGCATGAGACTTAGAATTGGTCGATTTTTTTTTTTTTTTTTTTTTTTTTATTGGTTAGGAAGAAGTCTTAGCATGCACCGGTAGGATTTGTCTATAAATTTGGAGAGGGGGATATTTTTACAGAGATGATTAGTATGTATTTTCTTTCGTCATGTATTCTATTGTAGATATGTTTTTATAACTGGAATTGTTAAAACTTAAATTTCCATGTTTTTCCTTATTTTTCTTTCTATTGAGAGAGAATACTTTGTCATGTACATCTTTATCATATTAATGTTGATCTTTTTTTCTTTTAGTATAACAGATTTCAGTTTTTATACATATATGAATATATATATATATATATATATATATATATATATATATATATATATATATGTGTGTGTGTGTTTCATCACAGTAAAATCAACTGAAGATAACACTAATAGAAAATAAGTACCTTTTACTCCTGTGTGTGTGTGTGTGTATATATATATATATATATATATATATATATATAATACACATGCTATTAAAGAAAAAACAAAATGGACAGCTTGTCAAAACTTAAGCTCTTACCCAGATAAAGTCTCAAATAAAGACAATAATACTGAAAAAAAAAAAATAGAAAGCAAACTTACCTACTCAATAAAGTGCTTGAAGCCTAGATTGCCTAGACTGATCAAAAAATTCTTACTAACGTTAAATCCTTTTGAAGAACAGCTCTGGTTGTGACTCTAGTTTCACATAACGCAATCCTCAGATGACTTGAACGGACTGAAGTGGACATTGAAGTCAGCACCCAGAGGTGACAGCCTCTTTCATGCTAAATACAATTGTTAGATGGCCTGATGATTATATTTAGCATGAAACGGACTGTCGCCTCTGGGTGTTGACTTTTGTCCACTTTTTATATTTACATACACTCTATCCCTGATATTGAGCACTTTAACCCATAAATATAGCATACCTTAAAACTATTTTATATATATATAAATATATATTTTATATATATATATATATATATATATATATATATATATATAATCTGTTTTTATTCTTTCCTTTTCAGCCCTCTCTGTGAAAGCTGTGCACACAAAGCAGCAAACCACCTTTACAATAAGCAAAGGTTAACTGCAGTCCCTCGCATCCTGATGCAAACTGCTCACTCAAAACACACGGAAGCCATGAAGCATTGTTTGTTTGCAACATCAAAAAACACTGGTCACCGTCTCTTCTCGCGGAGCCTCCATAGTAAGCTGCTATCAAGACAAATTGGTAAACCTTTCCTGCGTGCACCTAAACCAATGGGGCTACCACACTCAAGACAAATTGGGTTTCTTGTTAGGTTTGCTGGTCGAATTTTGAAATTACGTTATATTGTCTTGGGTGGTACTATAGGAGGAGGCTATACTGCGTCAAAGGTGAGTGAATTTTTTTTGAAAATTGATTTGATATGAAAATCATTACTTTTAATAATGTTGTTTTTTGCTGATATTGAAAAGTCAAATTGATTATTTCTAAAAATGGGATTTTTGCAGAAGTGTTTATAAAATTTGGTTCATAGTATTTGAATTTTTAAAGGCTTTGAAGAATTGTAATATCTTATTATACAGGGTGTGACAGAAATACCACCTACATAATGGTAAGACATTGGTGGTAATTGTATCTTTATCTAGCTAATGTCTTACCATAAATTGGGAAGTATTTCTGACAGGTATATGGTAATGGTATTTCTGCTGTACATTGTACCAGTAGCATTTACATTGTATTAGATGTTATCAATAAATCAGTGATGATTTCAAGTATGTAGGAAAATTTGTGTAGGTTACATGTAAATACTGTGACATTTTATATAAAGGACTTGAATATTCAAGGATGGCCGTGAGCCCTGCAAAGAAGATATTCAACACTGCCAAATATATCATACACTACAATGTGCATACACACACATTTATTTATTTATTTTTTAAACACAAGATCTTGGTTTTAGTTTTGAGTACCAATGATGCCTGGATACTAGTATCTGAAATAATGATTGATTAAAAATGTGTGAATGCTAATCACACACTATTGACTTATAACTTGGACTCAAAATTGTTTTATTCTTCAAGTAAGGTCATATTGTTAAAATGCTCTAGCAAAAATATCTGTATACTGGACTATTTTTTGCTGTGTTTAAATAAAAAAAATAACAAAAAAACACCTACAGAAACTGGATCCTTATTCTATAGATTATTCGAATTTCTAATTTAAAGATGTTGGCATGAATTTTAATAAACATGTTTGTCAAGCTGAAATATCTAGTTGCTGTGCTTACTAGTAATTCTATATTTAAAAAAATGAATTAAATGAAACTGAATTAAATTTTTCACCCAGTACAAGGTCCAAGAGCCACTCGAGGTAGAGGGTTATAGAGTAAGAGGCACAGTTTATAAGGATATGTGGTGAAGATAGCAGTTAACTCTAGACTTGAACAGGTTAAGATTGTAGTGATCAAGGAAGAATCCTCTTGAGAGTTGGTTTCAGAAAGCATGGGAAGAAGCTGCTTGACTGGAGTTTACAGCTCACCAATAAAATAAGAGAATGGGGTGGTTTGCTACAAATGTCTGTGGCATGGTTGGTCTTAGCTGTGAAGGCTAGAACTGGTGGAACTAGGGAGTGTAGTTTGTTTGAACACTTTCTATGAAAAGAGTGATAGAGGAGCGAAAGGCTTGTGACATTTCTTCTGTAGGAAAGGGGTTGTAGGTGGGAAATAATTCATCACTCACAAGGATGTAGACGCTTTTGAAGTCTATTGATGTAATGGAATAACCTGTCACCCCCATGAGTGACTACACTATAGGTAGTAACTACCTATAAGTATCTGTAAGTCATTGGACTACAGAGACTAGCTGGGATTTGTTCCAGCTAAACAGTTGAACTCTCTGCCTTCAGGCAGAGGGGAACCCGGACGAGGCTCTGCTGAAGCATGCAACACTCTGCCAATGAGGGTTGCATGCTGATCACATGCAACCCTTGTGTGTGGGGGGTGTAGCTAAATATACTAGCTGGGATCTGTTCCAGCTAAACAGTCAAACTCTCTACCGAAGGTAGATTAACCCTGAACCCGTTTATGCAGGTTCAAAAAGGGAATATTTTTGGCTGAGCTTACGGGCTTGGAGAACCCACATTAAACCAGCCTTGTGCCACATGCAACCCTCGTGGTGGGGTAGCTAAATATACTAGCTGGGATCTGTTGAGTACAATTCAGACTTATGCAAGAACTACCGACTTTCCAATAGTAGCACTCACTACTGGATTGATTTGCGACGACCTTGTGCATAACTGTTACCTTTATTCTTATTGTACTGGTTTTGTACAATAAACCTTTACTTATTTTATCCACCTTGTTTTTCAAGTATATATTCCTATTAGCATGAAATATAACAGTCTAAAATAGTGTCTTTCCATTATACCACTGATTAGCTCATTTATTGGAGATGTGTTAGGGCTTTTGACTGGATATATTGGCATAAATATTTTGTTTCCCTACTAGTTATTATTTTTGCCTTAGACATAAGAAATTAATTATTCCATAATTTAGGCTAATATCCTCATCATTTTTGTTTTGTCCATCACATTTTGGCTGCTTCTTTCTCTTGCCTTCTTCAAGGGTTTTTCAGATTTGGTAATCTGTAAGAAGCTATGGAAATATTCTGAATGAAACAAAAGATTATTTTTATTAAATAAACTACTATTATTGCTAATGAAAGTAGAACAAAACATGAACCCGGGAGATATGGATCTACTCTAAAATTGTGATTATATAATAAGTATAAGTGTAGTATGAAAAAGAGTTAAAAACTTTGAAAAACATGAGATTACCAGAGATACAACATTTGAGACAGTCAGAGGAACACACCAGATCATAGTCATCAAAACAACAAAGGTGATAATTCTTGTCTAAATAATGAAATAATAACAATACTTGATCAGAAAGCTTCAAACAAGAGATTTATATATATATATATATATATATATATATATATATATATATATATATTTTTTTAAATCATCTGCACTTGGTTAAAATGTATTCCCAAATTATCTTAGTGAGTACACAAACCATTCATTTCCTCTAAAAATTATCTGATTATATGAGGCTGTCTGAAAATTCTTTCTACAATAGATGTCTTTACATTATTAGAGAGATTTGAAAAATAAGAAAACATTCTGATTTCAAAAGCCATCAAAATACAATTTCAAATTTACTTATAAATATTAATACAGCTGGCAAAAAACATCATTTAGTAACATGTAAAATATAATCTTGAAGATGTTTAAAATTAGCAAAGATTAAACACGTGTTGTCAAACTTGACACTCTGGTAAGATCCAATCTCCTCTCATTTTCTAACTAGTGATTTTATATATAATATATATATATATATAATTGTGTATGTGTAAAATTTCAGATATAATTAAAAATATATCTGCAAAAGGACAATATGAATAAAGACAAAAGGAAAACTTATCTTAGCCAACACATTTCATCTTTCTTTTCATGTGCCATGTACTTTCAGGATGTAGGTGATCATGGCTCTCCACCTCCCTTATCCTTTGCAGCTCTCAACAAGTTTTATTCTTTCTAATTCCTCCCAAAGACCACATTCTGTTATCCAAATGCTCAAGCTCGTCGGGTATGTCACGTTATTGTTTTCTTGCCTCTAATTTCCTCTATTTGAAATACTTGACTCATGAATATCAAATTCTCCAGGTCCTCCTTCCTCATTGTGTCCCCCAAAACTTCAGCTGCCTCTTCCTGATATTAAATATAAGCCTCCTCTTGGTTTTTCTCTAAGATCTCATTGTTGCTCAATACTCAAAAAATGATATCCTTAGCATGTCTACTGATTAAGTTTATCCCTGGCAAATGTAAAGATTTTAATTTGGAACAAATATTTATAAACAAAAAAAAAAAAAAAAAATTAGCATAGACTGATCTAATAGCATTCTTAAATTTGAATTCTTTTTTCAAACTAACATTTTTACTTTTGTTTATAAATACTTCTCAAAATTAATCCTTACATTTTCCTTTATAAACTATCAAAGGATGAAATGTGTTTGCTAAGATAAGTTTTCCTTTTGTTTTTATTCATGTTGTTCTTTTACAGATATATTTTTAGTTATATCTGAGATTTTACATACATTCTTTATTCATATATATATATATATATATATATATATATATATATATATGATTGGATGAAACAAATTGCAATTTAAAATTATTAACTTTACTTATTCTTGGTTGATTTTTCATAAAACCTGTTTTATTTTGAACAGTATAATGGTAGACGTATATGTTAAAAAATTCTACTTTTTGGCAAATTTTCTTACCAATCTGGTTTTTGAGGTCAACTTTTTTTTTGAATATCTACCACAGATCCCATACTCATCAACTTGGAATGATAATTTCTGATGCTTTTGACATCTACTTAAGCAAGGGTTTATTTCACTGCACCACCATCTCTGCACTTGTTCCATGGACTGCCACACTTTGTAACTTTGCTAGCTGTGTAAGTTCATGAAGTTGGAAAGCTTTAATGCTATTCTGGGCTGCACTTGTCACCTGAAATAAAAAAAGAAGATATTAACAATGAAATTCTACCACTTTTAGAGAACACAATATATTTTGTTTCATGCAAATGCAGTGATATTAACAAAGTAATTTTCAATAGGAAGTTTCTTTCCACCTACCCTGTATATAAAACACAGTGTTGGTTTTTTGATCTTCTGTTACTGTACTGTACTTTTTTTTAACTCAGCCATGCAAATAACATGTGTTTTCTTCAGCTAGATACTTTTTTTTATTCATTTATTTTTTTAAATGTCAATTTTTGAAAATTGAAATTCATAAATTTTGGTGAATTGAGTTTTTATTTATCAGTATTCTCTATTTGAGAAAATCATGGTCATTAAATCTATAATATATATTTATTTTTTAATCTGATGACACAAAAATGAACAAAGCAATAATACTTGGTAGTTTAGAAGAACATTGTAATCATTTGTAATGTTACTCTTTCAAATTTATTACTTCAAATTTCTAGGATACCTAATGAGGAAAATGGGGCTTGGAGAATTAGACATTCATGATAACATATTGAAGGCAAGAGGTGCAGAGGGAAACATTAAGTAACCTGCCTAACAAGGTTATATAAATGGGTAGCAGAACATGGACTTGGAGGTGAAAAACAAAAAAGCTATAAAGGATAGGAAATTATGGAGAATTTGATTGCTTTATATTCTGAAGGATATAGCATATATTTTAAATAGTAAAGTTTTTTTGATGAAATAGGTTGTTGATGAATTTTTTGTTCATAAATTAAAATGCTCAGTTTGAAATGTGAATTAACTGGTTTTTGAGGTAATTTAGTTTCAGGTATGATAATCTAAAGAGAAATGATACCAAGTTTCAGGCATGATAATCTAAAGAGAAATGATACCAAGTTTCAACTACATGATAATCTAAAGAGAAATGATACCAAGTTCAAGAAAAATTCCTATTTTTATTTATTTATTTATTCTTTCACCCTATGCAAGCTGATAGTGCCATAAAATGTAAGATTTACTGAGATTGAAAATAAAATGAGAAAGACAAATAAAGAACAGGATTCAGGAAGGCAGAAAAATGGTAATTCTACTTCAAAAAAAATTATTAGAATAGCTTTTATATAATTGTTCATCTAGCTATTGCAACTTGTAAACCAATGAAACCTAGTTGCCAATCTCATAGAATTTACATTCATTTGGTCAAGGTACCAAATGGAAATCTCATCAATATAATTATATGAAAATATAAAAATACAGTGAAACTACATTGCAGTGGTGGGAAAATAATCAAAGCTAGATGCTAGGTCAGACCCTTTGGATTTTGTCATCAATCTTAAAATTGAATCTCTAGTGCTCTTGATTATGTGGCAACAATATTTTCTGATATTTGAATGGGGAGATTTATAAATATGCAAGATGGATTCTTTTTAGAAAAATATCTAAAACAATACAGTAGACTAACTTTCCTAGCCGCTTCTGAAATTGTTTGAGAGAGATCAATAAATGCTTGACAAACAAGTATTATTGCAAAATAGAACAAAAAACCAGTTCCTTATTCTTAGAAAGGAAAACATTGTTTTTCCAAACACATAATAAGCATCAGAGGAAGTTGGGACATCAAACATTTTATAAACCTTCAATATTCAATAAACAGAAAATATAAAGGAAATTGCAAATTTTGTTCTCATTTTTATTGGACTCTCACATTGTTTTTATGTAACAATTGTAAAAACCTTAGTCTGCTTAATTGGTTCTAACAATTATCATTTTGCTAATCAATTTTGTTAAAGTAATAAGACCATTAAATAAAATCTCAACATTTTTTTTCTTACACCTGAATAAAGAGAACTGGTTGTTTTTAGTAGCAATATATTAACCTCCAACACAAATCTAAATATTTTGTATGCAATTTTATTTTATTTTATTTTTGGAGATGATAATAGTTTTAGCGATACAAGTCTTACTAATTAACTGGAAGAGAAGAGATGGGTTCATATTTTCCCAAAGGTATTTGCATGTAAGTGAATGTAATGAACTCTAATGGAATTGGAACTTGGCTCTCTGATTTCTCAAAATTCAAGCTGCAATCCATTACACCACTATATATATATATATATATATATATATATATATATATATATATATATATATATATATATAAAAAAAAAAAAAAATGAATTTATTTTTATCTAACTTTTTTTTTTTTTTTTTAAAATGTTATTAGTGGATACCCTTGTCCTCCTGCACACTTTGAGAAATCTTAATATAGAAAATGTGCTCTCCGGCATGATTCGAATCTGTGTCCCTCTTTGTTGGAGAAACCATCATTTGATCTGGCATCCTTTTAGACTACTCAGCCAGTTTGCATCACAGCACAGCAAGGTTCCAGTTTTCCTTTTTTAAAAGACACTCCCTCACTCAGATTTTTCATAGAAGCCCAGAGCTTCCCAGTTTCTTATCTGAAATACAAAAAAAGCAATTTCGAAAGAATTTATGGATTTAAATGTTGCATTACAAATTAATTCTTTAGAAATTTCTTTGTTTACATTTCAGATACAAAGCTGAGCAGATATGAACTTTCGAGAAAAATCTGAGTGAGAGAGTGTCTTTTTTAAAAAGGAAAAAAATGGAACCTTGTTTTGGTGTGATGCTCTCTGGCTGAGTGGTCTAAAGCATGAATTCTGCTGGAGAGCACAATTTCTTTATTAACATTTCTTGAGTACAGTGCACAGACTGATAGAATACACACTGTTTAAAATAAAACTTCTATTTCAAACATGAGTATCCACTAAAAATAACATTTGAAGTAATAATGTTATTAGGTTGAGTCATAAATAATTTCCGTTTTTGCTTCTCTACTTCATTCTTCAAAATATTACAATTGGTTTGCAAAAACAAAAATTACTTATTATACAATCTAATATTATCATTTATATATTTCCTGTAAATGTCACTTGGGCTTAAGTTTGTAGAACACTTTCTAAAATAACACCATAATTAATTGCTGTAATTATGTATACTAGGAAGAGCTGTGAAAATTTCACGGTTTTCCTATTTGAATTTTCTGATGAATCTTAATACTTAAGTTAATGACTGTATAAGCTCATGGCAAATTCTACGACGATAAAACATCTGTAGAAATTTCCCCTATTGCATAGTTAAATATTTGAGCTTAACAACTTTGACAAAATATTGCACTAACAATCATAAATAAGAATGCTTCTTGTTATTTTAAGAAGTGGGTACAAATGAAGATTTGAAATTGGCTACTTTTTCCATTTCACTGTAACAGCCGTTAAACCCTTCTATCTTCTGCTTCTTTCATTGATTTTTCTCACTTAAACCAAGTAGTGCCTTTTCCTTTCTTTCCACATGATCAAAATTGTATAGTCCATTATTTGAGGTACTTGCAGGATGTAATTGTCATACGAACTAACACAGGAAGGGGCAAGCATAATTATAATAGGATAAGTATTTGGAATATTATTTAAAATAATGGAAAAAAAATAACTTTGTAGAGACTTTGGTTTTGTAACTATAATAACAAAACTTGCTATTTCATTTATAAATAATTTTTGTTTTCTTTTATTAAACAGTAAAAAAAATGTCTATTATGTTAATATTCAAATATGGTGTGTAATTGACCTTGTTTTTATAAATCCATCATTAACATTTAAAATCAAATTTAAAAAAAAAATAAAGATAGGTGTGAATTATTCACTCTTAGCTTTTTGTATTTTCATTTTTTTGTTCATGGAAATAGTGATTTACTAAGTGTAAATTAGTTGTGGCACAAAACAGAAAGTATGGGGCACCCAGTGAAGATCGAACTCCTCACTCAGTTGGAATAGATCTAGCAAGCTTGTCTTGGTAACTATTACATTATATTGAAGTGTCCCTTTTTGTCTATGGAAATAAACCATAAAATTAATAGGATTTCTTTTCTTTTTGTCTCTCTCTCTCTCCCCTGCTCCGTTTCTTCTCTTTTTGTCTCTTTTCTCCCTGTCTTTCTTTTTTTTTGTCTCTCTCTCTCCCCCTGCTCTGTTTTTTTTTTTATCTCTCTCTCTCTCTCTTTTTCTTTTTTTCTCTTTCTCTCTCTCTCCCCTGTCCGTTTCTTTTCTTTTGTCTCTCTCTCTCTCTCTCTCTTTCTTTTCTTTTTTCTCTCTCTCTCTCTCCCTGCTCCGTTTCTTTTTCTTTTGTCTCTCTCTCTCTCTCTCTCTCCCCTGCTCCGTTTCTTTCTTTTTTCTCTCTCTCTCTCCCCTGCTCCGTTTCTTTTTTTTTTTGTCTCTCTCTCTCTCCCTTTTGCTCCGTTTCTTTTTTTTGTCTTTTTTGTCTCTCTCTCTCTCCCCCTGCCCGTTTCTTTTCTTTTTGTCTCTCTCTCTCTCTCTCTCTCCCCTGCTCCGTTTCTTTTCTTTTTGTCTCTCTCTCTCTCTCCCCTGCTCCGTTTCTTTTCTTTTTCTCTCTCTCTCTCTCTCCCCTGCTCCGTTTCTTTTCTTTTTGTCTCTCTCTCTCTCTCTCCCCTGCTCCCTTTTTTGTCTTGCTCCCTTTTTACTCTCTCTCCCTCTATATATATATATCCCTATATATATATATATATATATATATATATATATATACCTGAAAATCCTAATAAGCATATAAATGAGTGAAGGTTAGAGGTTTCTTGCAGAAAGTTTAAAATTGATGAGCAAAAGAAAGTTACAAAATGTATCTCCTATTTTATCTTTAATGATTTACACAAAATTAGACTAATGAAAAATTTGTTTAGAGGTGACAATATTTTTGTTTTATTTACAGGAATGGATAGATGAGAAAAGACTTGAAGATCTTCCTTCAAGTGAATTAGTATTTGACTTGATGGACCAGTCCAACCCTGACATGGGTGAGATGCCTGGTAAGACAAATGCCATATTTTGTAGTCTCTTCCCTCATCCCCTCTCTCAATTGAAATTCAAAATTTTTTATTTTTAATAGTAAATCTGTTCAATATTTTGAGATTCTTTTGCAATGATTTCACTTTGTTTCTTTACATTTTGGAAGTGATGAAAATACTATTCTCAAATGTTAGCAATTATATCTTTGTATATGATTAACTTTTCAGATGTTGGTGTATAATTTTAGTTTACCTGTGAAGCTTAATATCAATCTGTAGCTGTGTTTAGTGCAGAATATTCACCATTTGCATAAAACAGTGGTTCCTGATTTTTGAAAAATTTTATTTAATTTTTTTTATTTTTTTTTTCTCCTCTGGGCCGCATTTTCAGAATGAAAATTTGCTGATGCCTCATCAAATTTTATGTGATAAAGAGTATATATAAAATAGAGAGGGTTAAAGGGAAATAACTGCAGATTTGAAGTCAGAACATGATCATTAATCACTCTCTCCTCCAATTTGCACACCCTAGTTACTATATTCTTAAGACTTGTTATAATGCAAAAATATCACAATGATAAAATTGGTCAATAATTATTTATAACTATTCATACTGGGATTCATGCATGCAATTGCAAATAATCCATAATAATATTTTAAATCCTTTATTTTTGGCATATGAATTTTTTTGAAACTGTCTTTGTCTTTCAATCATTCTACCTCATCTGCTATCCTCTTCTACTGCACATATGGGGTGTGCCACACCATTTGGGAAACACTGGCCTAAAACAAGGAAAGTTGTATTGAAAAAAAAAATTACATATAATTGTTCATGTACAAGAAAATTACATAGTTTTGCAAATTTTGTTCATATAATTCAATCCTTATTTACACTATTTACATTCGAACTTTGTTGTTAGTGCAATGTTTTGGCTGTTGTGTTCCCTGGCCTTCATCAGGTGTATATCAATCTGGGTAACCTTTATTTAATCTACATGAGTAGTGTGTTCTTGTTGCACTATAGAAATAAGAACTTGATAAGATGTCCCTAGTGGAATGTTAACAGTCTACACCTGTAGATTAAATGAAGGTTTCACTTTAGATTTCCATGTAAGTTACCCATGTAGGATCAATATGCACTCTCATGAAAACCAGAGGGCACAATGGCCAAAATGTTGCAATAACAACGACAAAGAAATGGACAATAATCTGAATGTAAATAGTGTAAATAATGTTAACTCCTCATCCCAGAAATTCAGACAATATTTCAACCCTTTCTTGGAAATTGTTTCAGCTGATCAAATCTCAGTCCTTGTTAAATGTACAATCCATAAGAAAAGTGAAAAACTTTTTTCTTCTTCAGGAAATCAATCTATTTCCACAGTGATAGATACAGACATAATTGCCACATTTTAGCTCCAAAGATTTTATAATTTTTTTTTTTTTTTTTTTTTTTTTCACAACATTGGATTAATGTTGCATAGTAAACTATTCTTTGCTACATCGTTTCTTAAGATTCTTCATTATGGGTGAAGTATTTGACTAAATGTTGGAAATACAACCTTCCATAACAGGGACAGCTGATTTCCCCCACTCTAAGTTGAACTTAAGGACCATAAACCTTTAACCAAAGAAGCAGAATCTTGTTTGGTAGACCATATCTCGAGGGAGAAAGGTATACATTACCCTTTTTCAGATGATGCTTAAATCATTTACAGGTAGCTCTGTTGAAGAGTAAAGAAATTGAAGTTGGTGCCATATAACTACTTGGGTGTTGGGCCTCCACATCCATTGTACTGTCTGGAATTTCCTCGGTGCTTTGGTAGAGATTAATTATGTCTGTTTACCTAGTGGTGCTGAAATAGATTCTGTTGGTATATTAATGTTGAATGTTTTTCATAACAACATCAACTACTTTAAGAAGAGCTTCAATTGTCTGAACAAAAATGTAATGGGTATGACTTTTCTGAAAGTTATAAAGAATTTCATTGTTTATTCACATGTTATGAGGATGAAGTGAATAAATATTAACAAAATTATGCCTTGTTTTAAAAATATCTTTTAAGCAAGTGATAAGCAAAATATATTATGTTATTTTCTCCTGCATGAAAAATCAGAGAAATGAAAATGATCTTCATTGAAATTGCTATCAACTTGAACTACCCACAACTTAGAAGAGAAAAATATGATCCATATTTGTTGCTAGTGGAAATTATGAGATACTGATAATTATTTAATAAAAATGAACACTTATTGGCAATGTTTAACAAAAAAATTGCCAAAAGGATGCTTATTCCTGTGACACCACTATTACTGTATACAATTTTGACAATGTTCATTGCTTAAAAAATCGAGGATTAGAATTTTATTTATTAAAACCAAACATAAAAGTGGATTTATACATTTTCTTTATTCTTGGGAATAAAAAACAAAGATATTAAACACTACTTGGTGAATAATAAATATTGCATTGGTTTACATATTTTGATAATATTTTTATAAATTTTTGAATAAAAACATTTCTTTTCAAATTTATTTCTTTTTAAAATGTTAAATAATAAATCTTTATAAAAGGTAAAGAATAAGTATTACATTTTACTTGGTTTACATATTTTTATAATGTTGTAAATAAATATTGTCAAAGGAGTCAAAAGTGTATACAGTAATAGCAGCATCAAGAGAATAATCATCCTTTTGGCACACTTTTTGGTTTTTTTTTTCTTTGCAGGCATGAAGGTTAAACATTGGTCATATATTTTTAATATTATTTATGCTATTTTCAACTTGCAAATAAGTAGCAGCCATTAAAAAAACTATTGTTATCATAATTCAAACTTGTGTTTTTCTATTTTCTACTTGTATCTATAATCTAATGCCTATCTTGAGTTATTAACTTTTTCCTTTCCTATTTAAAAATTCTGTTCATATTTTATCTAAAGGGATGATTTATTGTTTATGTACTTGTGTCTAAATACTACCGCTGTCCTATAATACTCATCATATTTAGTGCATGAAATTCATCTTGAAATAGTTGTTACATTTGCAAATAAAAACATAATAAACTCAATGAAAATGAAATGGCTTAATTCATTGTTTGAAAACATTAACTTTGAGAAATATTTAAATAATTTACATTTAAGCAAGTCCTTGCATTAAAAACACTTTCAGTGTTACCACATACTTTTGAAATCCTTGCATCAATTTTCCATTGTTAGAATGTTGTAATGAATATTGTAATAGAGGATTTCAAATACCATTTGTCATTTATAGTTTGTTCTTAAATTTCCACCTTCAACCATTTAAGACGGTTCATGTTATTTAAACAAAAATATAAATCAAGTTTAAATATGACAGTAGAAAATTGTTGTAAATATAACATTTTTCAGTGTTACCAAAAGAACATGTAAATATAATGACTATTATAGGAAATTGGTAATATTTAAGACAAAAGAAAACAAAATGACATGTTTGTTTCAATAGAAAAATAATGTTTTCTCTGTTCCAGATCCAGGATCCTTATCTGTTGAGATTGCAAATCTTAAGGACTACATTGGAATTGGAGATAAAAGTTTTAAGCAGTACCTAGGGATTGAAGATAAAAGTCTTAAGGAAATCTTTGGGATTCAGGATAAGCCACTCCTAGGTACTGAAGACCAAACTGCCACCATTACTATTGAGAATCCCAGTCCAAAAGAGTCTGTAGATATCCCACCAGTTATACAAGCTGAAAATATTAATGAAATTTCTGAGAACAAAGAACTTTTAGAGCTGTCTGCTGCGGCTGCTAGTGATTCTCATGGTATCACAGGCACGGAGTCTGGCACTGAAGCTAGCATTGGTCTTGCTGATACTGGAGAGCAGAGTGATAGGGGAATGGCCTGTGAAGAAGCTGAAAAGCCAAGTGAAAATGCTCCGCCAAATGATTACTTTGGTAGATCGCTGTCTTTTCAAGTAATGTCTTAAAAGGTCCAGAATGCTTAAAATAGCCCAGTTGGATTCTCAGGTGTAGAACTGCTGTAATACTTAACATTAGTCTTTATTTAACTGGATGAGTGCCTTACGTTTTTTTTTTGGGGTGTGGGGTTCTCAAAGTAGTGGTGGGGGTGGGGTCAGCCATTTGTACATCTTATTACTCCAGTTTGGTGCCTATAATGGGATGCAATGATTATTCAATTTTTTTAACATTTGAAAATTTGGGTATTTGCTGTCTACAATATTTGGATCTATCAGAATATTTTTTTGTCCGCATTATTTTTATTTACTTTTTTCTTTCTGTTAGCTCATAAGCAGAAGCAAGATCTGTATCCTGTCTTGGAGCAATACAATCTTTTTTTTTTTTTTTTTTTGATTTATTTACTAATATTAGCTGAGTCTGGCATAAGGCCCCAAGAGGAGAGCACCTAATAAAGAATTAAATCATTAGAGAAAGACCTTTTCTAAAGACTTAGAAATAATTCATAAGCTCTAGTTAGGTCTATAATATCAACATGATATAAAAAACACTAAAATCTTGACTAGATGGACTCCCACTTGATTTTAAGTATAGAAATTTATAATAGTGGATTTTATAAGTACATTATTGTAGGATATGGAGTGGCATTTAGCAGTGGTTCTGATAACAAATCAAGCCTATTGATGATATGGAGGTATTTGGTTAAATGCATCTGTTTGCCAAATAAATTCCATTATTTGTCTTGATCTTATGTCACTACTTAAAGCAATTTTCCTGTTTTAAAGCCAAATATCTTAACATCATGATTTAAACAAGGGGTGTGCGAATCATTTTTTTGATCATTGAAATTTTTTTTTTTGTATTAATGAAAAAAAAAAAAAACTAAAACATAGACTTTGCAGTGGGAATAAACACTGGCATATTTTAATTTATTTTAACTAAAATTTAAAATTTTACATATGGAGAATTGTCTATTATTAACAAGTTTAATAACTTTTCATGTTAAGTGAACTGATATGTTGTTTTAATTACATTTAAAGTCTAAAAAAAACTGTTCCTATCTGTTTAAATATGGGACTTTTTTTTTTTTTAATGTAGTAAGCAATTTTTAAGCTTGATACAACTTCTCCAAAAAGGTATTCTTGAATTTTCTAATGTAGGTATTTACTAAGTAGTTAGTAAGGATTTAAATCAGAGAAAGACAGTGATAGTTTTATTAAACCTTACTGATAGATCCAATAGTTAATTTAATTTTCCATAATGTAAAGGAAAAATTTGGCATAAATTGAATGCCTGTGATTTTTTTTATTCTTATTTTTTTAGTATTGCCGACTAGTGAGTAAAGTTGTACAATGACTGTCCTACTTGGCTGTTTTGAGCATGTATGGGTGAATGTTGCCAGCTTTTTTTTTTTTTTTTTTTGCCACTAGTTCACTCACTCACTCTTTGCCTCTACCATGCTTCTATCCTGCTTCTCTAATGTTTTTTCACCCCATTAGATTTAAGTTCCCCTTCTTTCATTCTCTCCTTCTCGTGAAGCCTTATCTTCATTCATTTTCTGTTTCATAACATTTCATTTATAGACATTGAACTTTTCAGTTCATAGGCCATTCCATCTTCCAACTATAGCAATAATAGTTTTTCTTTCTTTTTTTTTAATAAGGAATCTTCGTTTTTGTTCTGAAAATTTAGTTTATTTGTGTTTACATACACACACACACATATATATATATATATATATATATATATATATATATATATATATAAAGATCACTTAAAAAGACACAAACACTTCATGAGGTAATAATTTTTCATTATGGTTGTAAAAACAACCCCAATTCATTAGGCCTTCAAATCCCAAAAAGTTGGATTTGAAGGTCTGATGAATTGGAACCATTTTTACGACCCTGATGAAATAAATTATTACCTCATGAAGTTTTAGTGTTTGTGCCTTTTATAAGAATAATTATTGCTCTGTTTCTAACATGGAGCTTACTCTGGATTATATCCTTTTGGAAATATTCATACTGATCACTAATATTATCACTCATATATATAAAGTGAACATTGAAGTCAATACTCAGAGGCAACAGACTGTTTTCATGCTGGGCACAATCGTCAGGCGGCCTGATGATTGCGTCCAGCAGGAAACAGCCTGTTGCCTCTGAGTGTTGACTTCAATGTTCACTTTTATATTTATATTTACATATGCTCTATCTCTGATATTGAGCACTTTATCCCATAAATATAGCACACCTTAAAATTATATTTCTTTTTTATATATATATATATATATATATATATATATATATATATATATATATATATATATGAAGTGGACACTGAGATCAACACTGAGCTACAACAGTCTGTTTTCTGCTTGAATGCAGTTTTCATTGTCTGAGGATTGTGTTTAAGCATGAAATACTCTTGCTGCTTGATGTTGACCTCAGTGTTCACTTTTATATTTATATACACTCCATTCCCAATATTAAGCACTTTTATTCATAAATATAGTATACTTTTAAAACTATATTTTTATCACATTATATATATATATATATACACACACACACACACACACATACATATATATATATATATATATATATATATATATATATATATATATATATAATGTATGTTTTAGGCAGTAAAATTCATCCTCACAAGTTATATTAAATTCCACCAACAAGTTCTGTCTGTTCAACTTTTTATTATATCTTTGCAATTTCTGAATGAGGTGTTGTACATTGGGATTGAAGTTATGAATGAATTGTACAAAGTTCATTAGTTAAAAGTTATAAATGGCATCATTTTGAAGTGATTCCAACTAATGCCAGAAATTAGTTATATAAGTGAATACTTACCATACTGATAACACTTGTTCTTGATAATAACTGTGATTAGATAGTCAAAATAGCAAGAAAAAAAACATTAACTTTGGACAATTTATTTAATCCCAATGTACAACACCCCGCTTTGAAATGAGAAAGATATAATAAGAAGTTGAACAGCCAGACCTTATCAATGGAGTTTAATATAACTTGTTATATATATTGCACACTTTCCTATCATCAAAAGCACTCTTATTTTATAAAGCCTCAGCAAAAATCACATATTTTTTATATTCTGATGATGAGGATACATGCATTAGCACTTAAACTCCCCTGCTCAGTGCATTAACCCCTAGAAAATAAACTTGGTTTGTGAATTTGGTGGCATAGTAATTTTGAGTTCAATCCTTTGTCTGGATAGTCCTGACTCAGAATTAGTTGAAACAGGGCAAGCAATAACCGAGCAGTAATCTTCTGGTATTACAGATTGAGAGACACTTAAAGATAACAACAAAGATGAGGATATTAGTCTGAATATAAATAATGTAAATTAATAATTTGATGTCAGAATTAATTATATATGATTAATTTGAAATTTAATGATGAATAATATTACAGTATCAAAATCAGTATATTGGTATGAAGGAATCATTAGTTGAATATGATTATACTTTTCTTAAATATTTCTGAACAAATAAAAGGTGTTATGTGGTGGAAAATAATGTGTGTGTGTGTAATCCATCAAAAAAAGGTTTCAATAAATACCTACTATTGGTTATATTTTTCTCCTAATTGAAATAAGTTCAAAGGAAAACTGTCTTTTTTTTAATTTCTTATTAAGTATTGTTTACCAGAAAGAGATCTATTTTATTTACTCATATATCTTCCATATTTTAATATATAATAAATATGATCATTTGTTTTTTTTTTTTTTTTTTTTTGTTTTTTTTTTTTTTTTTTTTTATATAATCCTATTTTTAATATCCAATATAGATTTATATCTTAGCAAATGTAAATCTTGAGTACTTAATAATTTATTAATCATTCGATATTAAATGATTGCTTAGTTTCAATTGCAGTGCTTGAAGGTCAATTATCTTAATGGAAATACTCTACATTTAGATTCTAATGTCATTTATTAGAGTGAATTTATTGGTTTTATTTTTATCTCCTTAAGACAAAATTCAAATTCTTTCACAGTAATATCTTCTGCAGTACTTTCTATAAGATATATGGATAATCATGAATATAACTTGTGTTAAAATTTAAAAACAGCAGTCTGAAATAATTCATCTCAATGTTTTTCTATAGTACAATTGTTCAATTCAGTTCTTTCTCATTGTTCTTGATATATGTAAAAATTGATATGCACTTACTGTTTTCATTTGAACCTTTGTAAATGAGGCAGATGAAATTGAGTAGTTATCTCTTCTGGTCAGCTTTCTTAAGATTCTGTTGTCTTATCTAAGTCTGTTAGTTTTCTGTTGATGATTTGAAAAATAAGATTTGTTTTTCTTCTCAAATATTATGATTGTCTAACATCCATAAGATGTCTGATGTCTTTTTAAATTAGAAAAATGCATATTTTTTTTCTTTTCAGTTTTAATATTTTATCTCTTCTTCAGTTTCATTTTGTATAATCTTCATCATTACAAATACATATTACCATCTGATGCCCACTTAGACATACAAGAATCTTCACAAACACTTAGAATTATCCATGGTTTTAATACTCATGACATGTGTCTGACCAATGAGAACTGACCTAAACATAATTGAAAATACCAGTGTTTTCTGTTTTTGTCTGTTTTCTCTGACACTTTAAAAAAAGTGAAACATATTAGATTGATATGTTTCCTATTTGTTCTTTTATTTTATCATCCTATTTGATTTCCAATCTATATTTTATCTGCATTTGATCTTTAACTCAACTCAGTCTGTATACCGGGGTTGAATGAGACTGACAAAGTTTTCGCTGATTGAAATAGGTCTATATCCTATATTAGGTAATTTTTGATTTTTTGGTTTACTACTATTTATTTGCTCTGTATAATAAATACATTGAGCTCTTTTTGTGGATCAGTTTTAATATTTTGTATTACTAGCATCCACTTAGATTATATACCAATGGATTTATTACCT